TCATCATTTTCTGATGTAAAATGGTGTAATATTTTAATACTGGAGCAGGGTATGTTTTAAAGGGTTAGACTTTAGGAAATTGATGCAGAAGTCATTAGATGCTTACTTCCCCTCCCTCCTACCCCCTCAGTTGATTCAGACTGTCATTTCCATTTCTTCTACCAATCTGATACCTTTCTTTTATATTAAAGAGTTGAATTTTTCACGGGTGTTCTTTACTACGTAGTTTGGGTCACTTTTTAATACTGGAAGTTAACATTCTTTATTCCTCAAAAGATTTGTGACTTCTTTGAATAACTTTGACATTTGACTTGGGATTCCTGGTCCCTTATCTCATGGAGAAGATAAATAAACTTATAAAAATGAGAATTTTGTTCATGCATGTATGTGTGTGTTTCAACCATCTATTTCTCTGTACAGTCTGTATTTTAGCATCCTGCTACAAGCTGTATGTGCAAATGAGCGGCAGAATCACTCGTTTGAATGTTATCGTTTTACTCTTTTTTCTTCAAAATATAATACTTAAAAATTAGTATATTGTTTGGAGAGGAGCCATTGCTAAGACAGGGTAGGAAATAAGTATTTCAACTATAATGGTAAATAGTAACAAAATATTGGCGGTATTAGGGGTGTAACAACTTAGTGGTATAGAATTTCTTTTTGGGAGTGATGAAATGTTTTCAATTTTATTGTGGTCATGGTTGCACAATATACTAAATATACCTTTAGTATATACTATAATATACTGAAAGCTATTACATTGACACATTAAATAAATGTTGTATGGTATAAAATTATATCTAAATAGAGCTGTTAAAAGTGTTGATACAATGGTCTGATTAAAAAAACATGACATTGAAAAAAGAATCAAGAGAGACGTGACATAGTAAGAAACATATATGATGTAAAAGTTTCTGATGTTTTCCATATTTTTGAAACTCAGGAGTATATTTTGTGTTAGTATTAGGTATAAACTTACCTTGAAATGATTCAAGGTAGATTAGAACATGTGAGATGCTCCCTGACAAGAGGTCGTACTGTGCCCTCTATTTTTTTTCTTCTTTTCTTTTTTCTTTTTTCTTTTTTTTATTCTCTTTTTTAAAAAAATTATTTATTTATTTTTTATTATGAAGTTGTGGGGTACAGTTAAGGGTTAGGTATACAATTGCGTTTCATTCAGGCCCCCTGTTGATATGGGGTGTTTCCCCGTTCCCAGACAGATATTTGCTACTGTTAATCCCATCTCCCTCCCCCCACCATAGTTTCCCAGTACTGTCGGTCATTTTTGTATAGTATTGCATTGGATGTTTAAGGTCCATTATATGATTGAGAACATGTGATACTCGGATCTTTGTTTCTGTGAGAGGTCACTCAGTATCATAGACTCTAGTTCCATCCAGGTTGCTGTGAAATTCATGATTTTGTTCTTTTTTATGGCTGCGTAGTATTCCATCGTGTATATGTACCACATTTTTTTAATCCAGTCCTCTTTTGACGGGCAGCATGGCTGTTTCCAGGTTCTTGCTATTGTGAACAATGCTGCGATAAACATGCGTGTGCAGGTATCTTTTTTATAGAGTGATTTGTGTTCTTCAGGATATATTCCCAGTAGGGGGATTGCGGGGTCATATGGGAGGTTGGTATTTAGAGCTTTTAGGAATCGCCACACTGCTTTCCACAGAGGTTGCACTAGTTTACACTCCCACCAACAGTGTAGAAGTGTTCCCTTTTCACCACACCCTCTCCAGCAGCTGTTATTTTTTGACTTGTTGATAATTGCCATTCTGACTGGGGTTAGGTGGTATCTCAGTGTGGTTTTGATTTGCATCTCCCTGATGATTAGTGAGGTTGAACATTTCTTCATGTGTTTGTTGGCTGCTCGGATGTCTTCCTTTGTGAAGTGTCTGTTCATATCTTTTGCCCATTTTATAATGGGGTTGTTTGTTTTTTCTTTTCAGCACGTTTGAGTTCCTTGTAGATCCAGGATGTTAAGCCTTTGTCAGACCTGGAGTTGGCAAATACTTTTTCCCAGTCTGTAGGCTGTCTCCCTGCTCTCTTGATGGTTTCTTTGGCTTTGCAGAAGCTTGTCAGTTTAATAAGGTCCCACTTGTCTATCTTCTCTCTTATGAGCTGTGGGTTTTGGGTTTTGTTCAGGAATTGGATGCCAGTTCCGATTTCCATGAGGGTATTTCCTTCATTTTCTAAGGTTCTTATGGTTTGAGGTTTTACATTTAGGTCTCGAATCCATTTAGAGTTAATTTTTGGGTATGGGGATAGATAAGGGTCCCGTTTCAATCTTCTGAATGTGGTCAGTCAGTTTTCCCAGCACCATTTACTGAAGAGGTACTCCTCTCCCCTGTGATAGGTGGCGGAGGCTTTGTCGAAGATGAGTTGGTTGAGGAATTCAGGTTTTGCTCTGGAATCTCAATTCTATTCCATTGGTCTATATGGCTGTTCCTGTACCAACACCAACTTGTTTTAATTATTATATTTTTTCTCTTATGAGCTGTGGGTTTTGGGTTTTGTTCAGGAATTGGATGCCAGTTCCAATTTCCATGAGGGTATTTCCTTCATTTTCTAAGGTTCTTATGGTTTGAGGTTTTACATTTAGGTCTCTGATCCATTTGGAATTAACCTTTGTGCATGGGGATAGATAGGGTTCCTGTTTGTCTTCTGCATGTGGTCAGCCAGTTTTCCCAGCACCATTTACTAAATAGGTTCTCCAGTGCCCTCTATTTTTTTATGCCTAGAGCTTTGCTTCTGCTTTTTCCCCCCCCCAACTTTTAAGTTGAACTAAGTATGGTTAATAATCCGTTTATTAGATTAGATGTTAAGATCATATTTTCCCAAATGTCTTCATCCTTTCCTACAAGGTGTTTTATGCCAACTTATGGCTTCAACTTTCAATGTATCTTTTTGAATTTTTGTTTAATCATTCATTCTTTCTTCAAAACAGTCAATAATTCAGGCAGTCGTTCAAACAAGCACTCGCCATGGGCCACTCTCATTCCTGAAGCTACAGAGGTGTACAGGGGGGATCCCCCCCAAAAAACCCCAGAATTTTGGAGGTTGGGCCCCTTGTAGTAGATTTGGAATTTGTTCCTCTGAATCACATTGTCAACCCAGAGTTTTTATCTGGAAGTTTTGAGAAGGTAATGATTTGTGGAAGACATGTCCTGAGTTGTGGCGAACAGGGAACTGATTCTTCACCATCACAACTACCTGCCCAGTACCTGCCCGCACCACGGGGAGTGCTTAGCGTTTTTGACCCCGAACGGCATGAACCTTGTGCCCCACCCTCTGTATCCACCTACTCTCACCCCAGCGCCTTGTTTGTTTGTTTCTGCGTTTGAACGACAGTCAATATCTGTCTGGGGACGGGGAGTCACCTCTTATCGACAAGGGTGCCTGAACGAAGCGTATTTGCATACCTAACCCTTAACTGTACCCCACAATATCAAAATAAAAAATATTGATTATGAAAAAAAAAAAAAGAAAAAGTCCTCAAAGAGAAATGTTTTGCCGATGTGGGAGAGGTGAAACAAAAAACGGCAGAAGCACCAGAAGCCATCAAAATCGACAAGTTCGAAAACTGTTTTGAGCAGTGGAAAAAGTGTCTCCGTCGGTGTATTGCATCAAGAGGAGAGTACTTTGAAGTTGACTGTAGCTTAAATGTGTAAGGATAAGCGCACACTTTTTAATGAATAAATACTGGTTTTCTTGGATCCCCCCTCAAGCAGGTACAGTATCTGGCCTTAAGGAGTTCCTCAGTCTAGTAAAGAAGATAACATGTAAACTAATTTCTGCCAAAGTAATAAATGCAATAGTAGAAGCAGGCTGAAGGACCCACAGAATCAGGGTACAAGGTGACACTTCTTTTGGGGGGCTCACAAGAGAGTTTTTAAAAGAGATTATATCTGAGCAGGATTTTTTAGCGCAAGTAGGAATTTATTAGGCAAAAAATTCTGATTTTTTTTACCCTCACCTAACAAGTAACTAACTTCCATTTGGCAGACAATTATGTACACAGTTTCTTACTCTTTATTCACTAAGTTATTTTTCATATGCATTCAGAACAGCTCAAATACCTACTCTCTCAAAGCTTTCCCAATTCATACCCTTTAGATTGAATGTAGTTTGAAAATTCTCAGACTGTCTACCATTGTACTAAGTTGTGGCTGTGGTAGGAATATTTTTTCTTGTAAATAATATAATATTTTTGAAACTGTCTTTGAGATGTTTGCTTTTATTTTGCTATACTTGAGGTATTTTGAAAGATTCTTTAAAAAGACATATTAATATCCTGGACTTAAAATTCACTACACATTGCTTTAGAAGAAAAAGTCTATAAAATATGATTAAACTGTGCTACGATTCCCAAAATACTGTATTATTTAGGGGGTAGTAAGTTACCAGCATTTGCTTGTGTTATTTATTTTATTATACATAGTATAATGTGAGGACATTCCTGTGATATATGAATGAACATAATTATACTTTTCTGACACAATTGGGATCACATTATTTACTCTTAAACAATCACAAGATTATTTTATCTCCTCTGTTCCAAAACATTTGTTTTTTAAGTGGATTGAAAATATTACTAACTCAGCACATTTTGAAATACTTTGTTTGTATATCCATCTGCTGTGTCTCTCTTTAGATTGAAATTTAGGTCAAATTACAACTTGAATTCAACTTTACTACAGAAAATAAGTGTGCCATCTTTAAAAACAGCATTCTAAATTTTAAGCACAACAGATCAAAGTACATCTTATTTAAATTAATCCTCTGGAATGAAGTCTCAATTATTTTCTTCCAAACTTTCTAAAATAGTCACTGTTCTCAATATAAAATGTGAGGTTTAGCTTTATTATTTTAAAGAAAGATGAAAAGTTGTTTATTCTAAAATTTTAATGATTTTGCTCTCAATTTATGGAGATTCTCCGTTGGGGACAGCTTTATTTGAATTGTATGTGACATTATTTTTATTTCTTAAGGCTATGCTTAAAAGTTTCATGGATGTCTACCAGCTTGCAAGTGCTAGAATCACTACATTAGAGAAGGAAATGACATCTCATCGAAGTCACATTGCAACCTTGAAATCAGAACTTCACACAGCCTGTTTACGTGAAAATGAAAGTTTACAATCAGTAAGTCCTTGTCTAACAATATTTTTCTTTTCCTTGACTCTTGGGTTCAATTTACATTTATATTTTTAATGCTCATAAGCTCACTCACCAATGTATATAATTTTGGATAAGTGATCAGTCAAGTGACATAAAATTATTAGTGTGAAGAAAAATTTGAAGGAAGAAAAGCAATTAAATTTTTCTATTGCATCATGTATAAAGATATGCATATTGTTATCAATGCTAAAACACGACATCAAGACTCCTTTGTGTTTGGCAGTGCAACTGACAGTTGGATATGGCAGTATGCAAAGTTAAAGCTTGCAACTGTCTGAAGATTCAGTGTGTCCCATTAAGACAGAATATTATTAATTATGCGTATAACCAAAATGGTAATTAGAACATGTGATTATTCTCTGTAGAAAACTAGACTTATCCATAATACATGCCTAGCTAAAGATGCATGTTGTGATTCATCTGTATGATTAAAATTCAGTTTCAGCAGTTATTTTATGTCTTAAAATTTTAGCCCGTAATGAAATTTGGGCTCATTTAAGACTAAAAAAATTTTCTACATTTGAAATATGTGTTTGGGGAGTTTTTAAAAACTGAATATATTTGTGACATAAAGGAATAAGTAAACATTTAGACTTCTTTCTCAAAACTGGTATGTCAACATTGAGATTCAGAGTTACCAATAATTGGAATGTCTTTTTTCTTTTTTTAGTTGGATGACAGTGGATCGGGGTGACTTGTAAGGAAAAACCGTGTCATTTGCCATTCAGCTGTTGACCCATTTGGTCATAAAAAAGAATAAAATCCTGAAAAGGAGTTAGCATTAAGGCGAATAGATTCCTGGCTGTGGTTTGGTTCTAGACCTCTTCGGGTCTTCATCAAGTGTCAGTGTCCCCATGAAGCCTTTATAACCAGGGTCTTCAAAATCACAACCCCCACACCCCTCAAACACTCTATGTCTCTGTCTGTCTTTTGCCTCATATTGCCTGCCTTCCAACTTCCTTGTTTCATTTTTTCCACTCTAGCACTTCTCATCAACTGACATATGTTATATTTTGTTTATTTGCTTATTGTCTGCTTGCTCCCTACCCTCAGTAGAATATAAGTTCCATAAAGACAAGTGATAACTTAGAGTCTGCTCATTATACTTTTGTATCCTAATGCATTTGTTAATTAGCTAGAGCCATTTCACACTGTATACATACAAAGCTCTGCTTCTCAAACTTTTTTCCCCTTTTGAACATGTCTGTAGTATATGTTCGTCATATCATGTGTAAGAGGTGGTTCACCCTGGCTTTGATCCTTGGGGGGGAAGATAAGAATAATATGAAAAAATCCCCCCCTGAGATTCTGATATATCCTTTTAGGAGAATGCTGCCCAACTCCATGTCTCTACAGGATGTATGTTCTTCTGTCTTTTTCCTTGTGGAGTATGACTATTTTTAAAACAATAATACATTTGTCTAATAATTTTTATTTTTCAAGACATTTGTGTATGTATTTTCTAACCTGAACTTCTTAAGGACTCTCTAAGGTAGAAGAGCAGGCTATCGTCTTCGTATTCCTTAGATGAGAGGCAATATTGTTTGGTGGATAAGAGCATGGGCTTTGAAGTTATACCCATGAGAAGTACTGTCAAGTGTAAATAACAGAGAACTGACACGACTTAAAGAAATAGAGGCGTGCAGATTTCTTTTCAACATGCTAATTTTATTTCCTTTCGATATATATCCAATATTGGGATCTCTGGATTATATGGTAGTTCTGTATTTAATTTTTTGAGGAACCTCCATACTGTTTTCCATAGTGGCTGTACTACTTCACATTCCTACCAAAAGTGTACAAGACTTCTTCTTTCTCCCCATCCTCACATTTATTCTTTGTCTTTTTTGATAATAGCCATCCTGATGGGAGTGAGGTGATATCTCATTATTGTTTTGATTTGCATTTTTCTGATGATTTTTCATATACCTGTTGTCCATTTGTGTGTATTTGTTTGAGGAATGTTTATTTCAAATATTTTGTCCATTTTTAATTGGGTTATTTGTCTTCTTGCTATTGGATTCCTTGTATAGTCTGGATATTAACCCCTTGTCAGATGGTTAGTTTGCAAATATTTTCTCTTGTTCTGTAGATTGTGTTTTTCTTTTGTTACACAAAGCCTTTTTAGTTTGATGTAATTCCATTTGTCTATTTTTACTTTTGTGAACTTTAGTTTTGAAGTCATATCCAAAAAAGAAAAAAACCACATCTAAACCAATGTCATGGAGCTTCCCCCTATGCTTTCTTCTAGTAGATGCATAATTGTGAAACCTGCACTCCCTTTTTTATTGCGTCACTATTCACAATAGCCAAGATATGGAACCAACCTAAATGTCCACCAGTGAATGGATAAAGAAAATGTGATACACATATATATGACATATATCTTTATAAATGAAGATGTAGTATATACATGTACCACATTTCTGTGATATATCTATTGATGATAGATAGATAACAGTACTATTTAGTCATAAAAAAGAATGCCATTCTGTCATTTGCAACAACATGGATGGACATACGTTAAGTGAAAAAAGCCAGGCACAGAAAGACAAATACTGCATGATTTCACTCATAAGTAGACTCTAAAAAAGTTGATCTCATAGAAGATTAGAACAGATTGGAGATTACTAGAGACTGGAGTGATTAGAGGATGGGGCGATGGGGAGATATTACTCAAAGGACATATAATTATAGTTAGATAGAAGAAGTAAGTTCAAGAGATCTGTTGGACATCATAGTGACTATAGTTAATGAAGACATACTGTATTCTTGAATGTGGATGTTATGTGTTCTCACCACAAAAATGATAATTTTGTGAGGTAATGCATTTGTTAATTAGGTAGAGCCATTTAACAATATATATACTTCAAAACATGTTGCTTGTGGTAAACACATACAGTTTCATCTGTCAATTAAAAAATAGAGGATTTTTATTCTCTTATAGCAAGAAGTCTAGAAGTAAATGGTTATTGCCACTAATTTAGTGGCTCAAATACTTTGTCATTTTCTCTGCCACTCCTTCATTGTCAAGTAGCCCAGATCTAGGATTTGCTGTCACATTCAAGTCAGAAGGATGGAATAGCCCAACAATATCTGCTGTATATATGACATGTATCTTTATAAAGGCTGGTCTTGAACCTGTGGGCTCAGGCAATCCACTCGCCTCGACCTTCCAAAGTGCCGGGATTATAGGCTGAGTCACTGAGCCCGGCCTTGAAACTATTTTTTCAGAGGTCAACACTAATTTTATTCTTGCTCTGTTCATTAGTTCCTTCTCTTCCCTTTAACCTATATGCAACATAGGAGGCTTTTCACTACTCCTTTTTTCTTTGAACAGCATCTCCTTTGTTCACTTGTGTCCACTTTTCCTTTGTTGACTCCTGGGCCTCTACTTTTTATGAATATACATATATATATATAATGTGTCTTCCAAGATGTGTATAGATAGATATAAATATGTAGACATATCTCTATATGTATGTTGAAAGTCTTTTCCTTTAAAAATATTTTTATATATTCAAATATTTGCATATTTTTAAGAAAGGAAGGCCTTCCAAAGAAGCTCCAAACAAATTTCTGCTTGTGTCCCATTAGCTGGAAATAGGCCACGTGTTACCCACAGAAGTCAGATAGGTTTGGATTCACATTCTAGTTCTGTCAACTGCTAACCATAGAACTTGGATCTCAGAGGTTGTTATCTTTAAAATGGAAACAGTGGTTCTGCTACCTAATAGAGATGTTGAGTGGTTTAGTGAGAAGTGTTAAAATACTTCAGACTTTGTCTCATACTTAGTCCCCAAAAAGTCAGCTGTTATTTATGTCACCGTTATCTCAATAGAATGTAATTGGATTACCCCACAGGAAAAGATTATCTACTAACCTTACACTTTCAGCTGCAAACTTCATCATTTTTGTTCTGCTTCCTGCCATAGCTTTGAGTGTGACTCCTGCTCTTTGATGACCATCAGTGTATTCCAGTGACTCAGCTCTTAGCTCTCTGCAGCCTGTCTTCCTCTCCGTTCACTGACACTTTCTTAAAAAGTAGTCCATTTCTGTATACCTTGTATGCTAACATTCCATTTACTCCAGAACTTTACTGCCATCTGACTTTTGAGTCTGTCTTTCTGCTGAAACTATTCTTTCTTTTTCTTTTTTTATGAGTCGGAGTCTCACTCCATTGCCCAGTCTGGAGTGCAGTGGCATACTCACTGCCAACCCAGTGTCTACCTGCTGGGCTCAGGTGATCCTGCTGCCTCAGCCTTCCAGGTAGCTGGAACTACAGGCGCATGCTACTACACCTAATTTTTGATTCATTGCAGAGACAAGGAGTCACCAAGTTTCCCGGGCTGGTCTTGAGCCTATGGGCTCAGGCAATCCACTCACCTTGGCCTCCCAAAGTGCTGGGATTACAGGCTGAGCCACTGAACCCAGCCATGAAACCATTTTTTCAGAGTTCAACACTGATTTTATTCTTGCTCTGTTCATTAGTTCCTTCTCGTCCCTTTAACCTTTCTGCAACATAGGAGACTTTTCACTACCACTTTCTTCTTTAAACAGCATCTCCTTCGTTCACTTGTGTCCATTTTTCCTTTGTTGACTCCTGGGCCTCTACTTACTGTGTTCTGCCTTCTTTGTGTTACTGTTTGTTAATGCTTTTCTATATCCATTAATTTAAAACTTACTGAGCATCTACTCTGTGGCGAGCGCAGTTTTGGTTTGGGGGCTATCAGGTGAACCCAAACAGGCAATCCTTGTTCTTGTAAACTTAAAATCTAGTCATGGAAATAATTATTTTTCATGTAATCACACTTACCGGAGTGTAATTACTAACCAAGATATTGCATTGAGGGTAAAGAACTAGAGTGTAAAAGAGTTTTTTATTTTGTTATTGTCATCATTATTTGTAGGGACGAGGTCTCGCTCTGTAGCCCAGGCTGGTCTTATACTTCTGGGCTCAAACAGTCCTACCTCAGCCTCCCAAAGTGCTGGGCATACACGCATGAGCCGCCGTGCCCGGTATAGAGGTTTTTAAACGGAGGAGCTGCCCTGGGCTAGGTATGAGTAAACGCCTTTTCAGGGTCAGTGATGCTTGAGTTAAAATCTGAAGACTGGGTAGGAGGTAGAAGAATATAGGAATCCATATCAGGAGGAGGATGTGCAACGTCTGCAAAGACCCTGCGTGGGAAAGAAGAAACTGAGAAAGACCAGTGTGGCTTTTGGAAGAAAGACAGTAAAGGCAAGAGAGGTCTAATAGGAGAACGATCTGGAGCAAAGGGCAAAGGTCAGGCTTTGTTGTCTGTGCCCTAAGAACAAGAAAAAAGTCACTGAACATTTTTCAAGGAGTGATGAGTTCAGATTTGCATTTTTTAGATCGTGTCAGCTGCAGTGTGATAAACCAATTAGATGTGAAAAATGAGAAAATGGTGTGTCCGGGGCAATTCCTAGGGTTTTGCTTTTGGAAACGGATCGATGATCTCATTTACTGAGAAGGGAAACAGTGGAACAGGAAGGGATATTGTGGATTTCATTTTGAGTTTGAGGTACCTTTTATCTTGTATTTGGGAATATTTGTATTTACTGACATAGATGGTTTGGGCATCAGGAACATGTAGATGGTACTTTGTACCACCATGTCTATAAAGCACTGAATGTTTAACTTCCTTTCCCTTCTGCAGATATCTCTGCATCTCTCATTGCACAGATCATTTTCTACCTGAATTTAACAATGTAGAAATGTTTATTAAGTGGGCATTATTTGAGGTATAGGGACAAAGATGAGTAAGACATGATCTCTGCCCTTGTGAGTTCCTCTTTTTAACATGGGAAACGGACATGAGCAAATCGCAAAAATAGGCATATATAAATTCTGTGGAAGCCCAAATGAGAAAGGAGTACATTCTG